TCGCCATGGACGACAAGTATCTCCGCGACATCGTGGTTAGCTTCCTCCTCGCCGGGCGGGATACGGTTGCCTCGGCGCTTACAACGCTCTTCATCCACTTGCACAAGAACCCTGAGGTCGCGGCCGCCATTCGCGCGGAGGCCGGCAGCGACAAGCCATCCACCTACGAGCACCTGATGAGCCTGCAGTATACCCACGCCGTGCTGTTCGAGAACATGCGGCTGTTCCCGCCGGTGCAATTCGATTCCAAGTTCTGCGCCGCCGCGGACGTGCTCCCGGACGGCACCTACGTGGAGGGCGAGTCACGCGTGATGTACCACCCGTACGCCATGGGACGCATGCCCAGCATCTGGGGCGCCGACTACGAGGCGTTCCGCCCCGACCGATGGCTCACCGGACCTGGCGGTTCGTTCGCGCCGGCGAACCTGTACAAGTACCCGGTGTTCCAGGCCGGCCTCCGTGTGTGCCTCGGCAAGGAGCTTGCCATAACTGAGATGAAGGTGGTCGGCGTGGCCGTGGTGAAGGCGTTCGACGTGGAGGTGGTTGGAGAGCATGGCCGTAGTGGCTGGGCGCCGACGTTTGTGCCGGGGCTCACGGCGTCCATCAGCGGCGGCCTCCCAGTGAGGATCATCAAACGCACTTTGACTCCGAATTCCGGATTCACATAATATACATGATCTTTTGGTTAAAGATAAAGATGGTCCAAATTGATATGAGCACTTAATTTGAAGGGATCTAAGGGCATCTCCAATATTCACTCGCAAATTTGATCCGGCATCAGTCAATGGACGGACAGACTAGTCCACGGACACTGATGCCGGAGGCCATCATTCAACGATGTCCGCATACATTTCAAGCAGTGTTAGAATTAACCGGACGAAATTTATGTAAACCGGCTGGGATTTCATAAACCAAAAGAGATTCATGCAAACACAACGTATTTTTTATTACATTTCAAACATTTAGAAGAAGAAAAACAGTTCTGACCCTAAACCAATCTTATGGCGGTGGTCGGGTCCAAGCCCTTGTTGTTTCCTTCCTGGGACTGCCTCCTCCATCCGCTATCTTCATGAGCACCGGCGATAAGACCGATGAAGTGAAGCTCCGGTATCTTGCGAGGAAGAGTAGAACATGTGATACAGACCGGCCCACGTGGAACACAAGGCCCAGCCGCCTCTCATGCCCTACTCGTTCTCGGAGGAGTCTGCACCTCTTCCGTCGCTAGTGGACGTGAGGTCCACAATGAAATGGCGGCGCCGGTGCTTTAGTTGTCCCACCGGGTCGCCTGAAAGTTTGTCGTTGATATTTAGGAGGCGTAGCTGACGTTGTTCTCATTCGTGATCGCCTGCAGCTACGCCTCCACGGCGGCCGCTTCCGGGCAAGCGACAGCTTGAACGCTGGTTTCCTCGTAGATCGCACGCTGCTCCACGACAAAGTTAGGGTTCGCCGTGGCCATGACTGTCATGGCCTCCTTGTTAACGCGCTTGCTGTCAATTTGGCTAGAGTGGGTCGGCCTGTTTGCGTGTCGCTTCAATTATGGCCTCAACTAATTGACGTCACTAACGGTCAAATAGAAAGTCTCTAGGCGAGATCTCTTGTATGACCCTCCTTAGCGTCATAAAGTTGAGGCTATGCTGCAGGCTCGAGCCTAGTGGTCCAGCTCGCTCTAACATGATGGGCGGTGAGCTTCCTTGAACTATTTTTTTTCTTCCTGTTTTCTGTTCGATTTTTGCTGAAAATTGGGTGTTTATTCTTCGTCGGGTTAAATATTTAAAAATGTTCATGATGCAAATAAAATTTTAGTTACTATGCGTTTAAAATTTTCATCTTGTTTTAAAATAGTGTGCATTTAAAAACATTTCACCGTTCAGTATGTATTTAAAAGATGTTCACTTTATATTAAACTTTTCACTTACACGAAACATGCTCAGTGTATATTAAAGTGTTCAATGTATATTTAAAAAAGTTCATTTTTATTTGAATACCGTTCAGCATATACTGAAGAAACATTTAATCTATAAAAATATATAGAAACAGGAAAGGAAAAACTGCAAGATGAAAAAAGAAAAATCAGGAGAAAATGAAACCTGGAAGAAATCATGATAAAGAAAAGACCAACTAAACCAAGAATAAAAAAAATATCAAGTAAGAAAAAAGTACCAACAATATAGTAAAATGGAATATAAATTCAAAAAATATATGAAAAGCCAGACAAAACTGTGCGCCAACTCAATATGTGTTTTCAGAAAATATCACCATTTTCAAAAATTGTTGATAAAACCAAAATAACTGAGTTTTTTAATAGGGATTTTCAAAAATAATCATGTATTCAAATATATTTAGAAATTCAAAAGATGTTTCCATTATCAAAATTTGGTCGTAAATTCAAAAAATGTTTGGATGTGTCGAAAATGTTCGTGTTTTCTAAAATTATTCCCAATATAGAAATATTGAATTCCAAAAAAAATATTTTTTTAAAAACGTTCAGCATTTTGAAAACTATATTCGCTTGATAGGAAAAACATATTTCCAAGAAAGTTTGAAACTAAAAAAACTGTACCTTGTGCCCCAGTTGCTGCAGTAACAGAAACGGTATGGTAGAGCCGGCTCGCTGTATTGCGGGATCGCTAGTCTCCTTTTTTTTTGTGAAAGGGGATCGCTAGTCTTTTTAAGCCGACGATATAGTGCCCATGACCCTGAGCCGCTAAAGGAGCTGGCCCAGTTGGAAGGTGAATTCTGTTAAGGCCCAGCACCTCGCCACATTTTTTGATTTTTGTTTTTGAGAAACTCGCTTTTTTTGAGGAACTCGCATTTTTTTGATTGGACATTATTTTATGAGTACAGGTCGGAAATCAGTTTTTCTTAATCCAGCAATACCAACAGTCAATTTGCCAATTGATTTCCCCTGCCGCTCCTTCATAGTACACGTCCTTTTTTTTTGGCGAGGGTAAAAGAAATTTATTCCAAGATCGCAGGGTTACAATGAAGAGGCAAAAGTTCCTCCACACATGATGAACCTGTACCAAGCCATACGATAGTAGTGTTCTCCGTACGACTGTACAAAGCCAATCGATCTGCTACCCTATTTTGTTCAAGCTTAGTTTTCGATGGAATCTCAGCCACTAGGTGTCCATATGCAGAGTAGGTAAGGCTATCCCCCTTCATTGCCATCAGTGCTTCCGATGAGTCGGACTGGACAATGACAGCCCCCTCACTATGTTGAATAGCTAGGGCCATTACTTGCATTAACACATGTAGTTCGGCCTCCAGTGCGTCACTTCAGTTAAATATGCATCTGTAAGCTGCAAAAATAACACTGCCGTCATACCTTCGTAGTACCATCCCCGCTGCCGCAGAACCATCTGACTCGGAGTAGGCTCCATCCACAGACAAGGCGACTCGTCCGGGTGGTGGCCTCGGCCAGGGCAGCATCGGGACTGCTGCTCGCGGTGTAGCTGGGTTGATATCCACTGCCAGCATCTTCCCCTTCATAGCACACGTCCTTCGTCCACCGTTCCTCCTCATCCCTGTTCTCCCGCCACCCCTCTTCCCCAATTTCATTGTCCTAACTTTTAAATTAAAAAAACATCGTTATGGCTTCCTCTCTTAAAAAAAAATCTCTCTACCGCTCAACGTCCTAGCACTCCATTGCTTGAATTGTACCGAGAATGCGGATCTTAGTAGGTGCACTAATTGTTGTAACTACTATTCCAAAATAAGTACACTCATTCCGATGATTTACTACCTCTGTCCGGGTTTATGAGGCCTTCTAGTATTTTGAGTCAAACTATGACCATTCATATGACTAATAAAATATAGAATATATGCTACAAAAAGTACACTGTTGGATTTGTATTTGAAAGAGCTTTTCAAAAATATAATTTTTGTAACAAATAGTTTGCATTTTATTAGTTAAATTTGTTGGTCAAATTTTAGCCCAAAATGAGAGGGAGACTAATAAATCCGGACAGGGGTAGTAATCTGTTGTGAAGTCCAAGTTTGGGCAAATTTGACTTATTGATTTTGTCCACTCGCTGAATTAAAAATGTAGTACAAACTTTATCTCAAGGGTCAGAAATAAATGGAGCATGCATCTTCCTTAAATGTCATGCCAAATCTAAATTACGGCCTACTCCATGCATGTTGCAAACGGGCAACTACCTTTTTCTTATAATGGACATTTTTTGTTGACTCATCATATCGCATCAGAGCGATACAAGAAAAATGAATTTACACCCGAACTCTGTATGACTAGGATGCACATAGCCAAAAAAAATTCGCACATTCTCTGAAAAATGCGGCAAAAAACAAAGTCGTTCAAGACTAAGTTAATGCCTAAGGCGTGGAGTGTGGGGTGTTTATCTGTACACTACGCCGTCATCTATGTTGGGTAAAAATATCACTGGCCATCTATTTGAACCGCGTATACGCCGTGCTAAACTTCTGCCAATGTCTCCAAAGAATAGACAGCAAATCATAGCCATATTATTGAGAATGGGAAGATAACCTGTAGATAACCTGTAGTGAGGAGAACTTTTCATCATTAAAAACCATATTATTTCTATATAGCCATAGCGACTTGTAAGGTGAAATTTATAAATACAGCTACATCCTAATCTCTCTAAGAGAAATCGAGAATGGGAAGTGAAGTCAACCAATGAGTTAGCTGAGTTGTTGGTTGAGTTATACCTTACTGTGCACACTTGCAACTTCTAGAAATTAAATGGACTTCTGAATATCTAAATGTGGCTAAAAAGGCATATCAAACCCGAAGCTACTGCATATATGATTGTGTATCGTTTTCAGAGCACAACAACATGGAAGTCCCTCCACACATGACATAGTAACACAAGCCACAAGGAAAGACTGACATTTTTAGAGAGTTTAAGAACTTATGTACCATGGGTACACAAAAAGACCACGGAACAAAAGCAATCCCTACCTAGATTTTTAGTTGAATCGATTTCTAGCAAGGAGGCAACAAGTGGACCGACCCGATTCTACGTCAAATCAATCGTAGTTGATCTCAAGAGTTCCGTCTCGAGCCCATGTGACGAATCTAAAGGCATGAATCCTTCGCAATCCAACGGTCGCATTCTTCTTGGCCGGTCGATTTGCGACGTCGTGCTCATCAACATGGCAACAACGATGGAGATGGTCGGCCTATCACAAGGAGTTTCCTGGACGCAGAGGAGCCCAATCTGGATACATCGTGTCAGCTCGGACAAGAGCTCAGGCTCGGACTCGGATAGTGGTACCATTGTTGTGTCCAGAAGTTCCGCGATCATGTTTGTCTCCAACAATCCCCAGGCCTACAAAAGGAGATTTTCCAACTATCATAAAGCTGTGCAAATAATCTTGTATAATATGTTTATGCTTGATATACTTCATCTCAAGAAGAAAAGGAATTATGTGTATCGATTAACTATAAGACGCGGATGCATTTGTGAGATAGTAGGACTTACATGCGAAAGGAGGCCCTGCATGCCACCGTTCCTTCGCCCACTGAGTGTCTCCAAGAGAATAACTCCGAAACTATAGACGTCACACTTAAGTGTCATGTTCCCTTGCCGCGCATACTCCGGCGCTGCATACCCCCTTCAAGAAACTCAATAATATCAGGATATATGTATTGAGTTGATTCCACTCAATCTGAATGGAGAAACAAAGATCCAATAATAGGGATGCATGCATTTGTTACTTACGGTGAAACTACAATTGTTTGATCAGGCCCGGTCTGATCCACTGCGAACAGCTTGGCAGTTCCAAAGTCAGCAATTTTAGGCTTCCATTCGTCGTCTAGCAGAATGTTGCCCGGCTTAAGATCCCTATGGATAACATTGTCACCAGATCCTCCGTGTAGGTATGCAATGCCATGCGCAATCCCTCGAATTAATTCCAGTCTCCTTGCCCAGTTCAGTGAGGCACGAAGGTTGACATTGCCTGTTAGTGTCAAATATGCATTCATTAGATATACAACCATATGAGAGAAAACTTGAGGAGCTTCCCAACCATATATATGGTGGTATCTTGTTTGGATTCCATATATGAAAGCCAGCACTAGAACACAGAGCGACAGACAAACAATATTACAGGATACAGTTGATTAAAAAGAATGTCAAACCATATATAACGTGATTTGGACGGATAATTCTAGAGCGCCATGCCATACAAGTTTGGACCCGGTTTCTAAACGCGGATTTGGAAACCATCTTGGATGCTAAGCCGTCAACCAAGAAAATGCACTTGAAGGAGGGTACCGGGGCGCTCTAAATGTGAATTGGGAACGATGATAAGAAATTAAAAAGAACACTTGCACACTTTTGTCAGCGTAAATGTCTTGATCCCCTGAAGAAGGAGAATAGTAGACATGCATGATATCGATAGACAAAGTATTTGTCAGAGAGATGGATGTATCCAAATGTATTTTAGTTGTAAATACACTCATTTTTATCCATTTCTCCGAGAAGTATTTCCGAACAGAGGGAATACATGATAGAAGCGTTGGCGAGTACCGATTACCGAATATGTGGACGTTTAGGCTCTTGTTCTGCATGTATTCGTAGATGAGTATCCGCTCCTTGCCTTCATTGCAGTAAGCAAGGAGACGGACAAGACTACCATGCCGGAGCCCAGCCATCACCTCCACTTCTCTTGCAAAATCTTTCTTGCCTTTTGTAGTGAGCACCGACTGCTTAAGCCTCTTGACAGCAATTGTTCTTCCTTCAGGCAGCTGCCCCTGATGATTTTGGAGTTTGTGATGTCAGAAATGAATTTGTCAACGGATACTTTTCTATATGGAAATGCCACAGCAAATGATGTGTTTCTTGGAGAGTACAAAACAGACACACCCACACATCATAGCAATAGCATACACCATCTTATAACCAAGACATATCTTCGATAGAAAATGACAAACCTTGTAAACGATGCTAAATCCACCCTGGCCGATCATATTGCTTTCGCAGAAATTTCCAGTGACATCCTTTATAATAGCTAGACTAACTAAGGGAACGGCCATGGCATGGCTCTGAGGAATAGCACCTGTCAACAGAGCTTATAGCCTTATATACATTTCCTTATTTCTGCTTCATGCAAAATAGTAGTAAAATTGAGCCATTAGAGCAGAATTTACCTATGATTGTGCGCTTCCTTCTCCACCAAATCGCAAAGACGACCAGTATAATAATAACAATCGAAGCTAAAGGTATGGAAACGAGTAGAACAGGGAACTTTTTATGGTCATCTGTTATCGCAACAGAAGAGAAAGATCAGAATGCAATTGAGCACTTATACAGACTTACAATCCATTAAAAATAAAATTTCAAATTGAAATTAATATAGTTATTTCAATAATATTTTATGATGTGGCATCCGAGGAGCTTACACATAATAAAATAGGGCAAATTATATGGGCATGACTAGAAGTAAAAGAGAAACAAAATTTAAAAGCAGATAATATTTGTCAGAATTGCTATTTCTTAGGCGCAGCTGAAAAAAGTTGTAATTCAACGCTCACAATCACAACAAGCTGATCAGACTTCCGGATGTGTACAAGCCACTACAATAGATGATAGTGAAATAACTATTTCTAATTAAGTCGATCAGTTGAGTGAGTATTTCAAAATGGAAACCATGATATCTTTTGTCAATTACTAAAAAATACCAAGCGCTCAATCAAAAAACATGCACGGCGAGTGTAGAGATTCTGTACACTTACCAAGTTCTGATTTTGACAACCTCAGGTAGAGATTCTGCCCCATGTCCACGAGACGTAGATCAACGATGGCATCCGTCCACATGACGCAGCCGGAACCATCGCCGCCTCCCCTGATGTCGGCGGCGGCGTAGGCCAAGCACGAGCAGTTGGCGAAGCACCTCGCCCTGCACTCCTCCAGCGTGACGCCCATGTCCACCGACGCGTTCTGCGTGTCGGGAAGCTTCACCCCCCGCACCACCGCGAAGCCGTCCGTCGTAGTCCCGCCGGCACAGTCCAGCGCTGCGTGTCTTCGGCAGGTGGTACCCTTCACCTCCTGCGCCGGCAGGGTCGTGGCGGGAGGGCTGCTGAAGCTGAACCCCTCGACGCAGCCGCAGAACCCCGACGATGCCGCCTCGGGGTCGCAGAGGCCGAACGGCCCGCATCTCCCATACTCGTCGCAGGGGTCCCTCGGCCCCTGGAATATGCGAGTCCACGCCCAGCTCCTCGCGTCCCACTCCCACCGCTCCGCCTTGCCGGTGTGGTTCACCACGACGCGGGTCAGCGGCGCGCCGGGCGCGGCGGTGTACCCGTAGGTGACCTCCCACGGGCTCGTCGTCGCCCGCAGAGGGTACTTGGCCGCGTACACCGACACCTCCGGGACGCCGTTGAAGTAGAGCCCGTTCCACGGCCCCGTGCGGTACGCCTTGACGTTGCCACGCCACACGACGAGCTCCGGTAACCCCTTGGTTTCCAGCGTGCGGCGGTAGTCCCCCGGAGCCGGGTCGTCGGCCGAGCGCCACGACGTGAGCTGCCACTCGGCTCCGGTCCAGCGGTTCTTGCCGAGCTTCATGTCAGGCAGCAAGGTGTCCGACGGATGGTCGAACGACTGCCACAGGGAGGCGTCGCTGCTGCCATTGTGTACGACCAGGTTGCCGGACACGAGAAGCTGCGCCACCACCGCAGAAGCGCCGCCGGAGAAGTCTGAAGACCAGACCGTCCGGCGGGAGCCATCGAGCAGAACAAGGCTGCCGAGGTCGTTGAACACCAGCATGCCGGACTTGTCGACCATAGGCTGCTCGCGGTTGGCAACCCAGCAGGCGATGGTGGCGTTGGACACGGAGAACCATACGCCGAGGTACCTCTTGGTGGACACCCCGGGAGAGAAGAAGCCGAGGGTGAAGGAGCCGCCGGCCGAGACGAGCGTGTCGCCGTCGGTGAGGTTCTGGCCCTTCTCGAGCTTGTCACCAACACCGGAGGCGCCGAAGGTGTGGACCAAAAGGAGGTAGAAGCAGATCAAGAGCAACCGCAGTAGACTGGTCGCCCTCATGTTGCCGGTCGCCTCTTGGAGAATGCAATGGATACATGCATGTACTCAAGTTATTAGCTGTTAAATACATGCATGTACTGATAGAGATTGAAATAACTTCTTTTTTCCACGAAACTCGTCAAGATCAGGGCAGGAGCACTGTAATTATATTATACTCCCTCCGTTACATAATGTAAGACGCTTTTTGACACTACACTAATGTAAAAAAAACGTTTTACATTACGGGACGGAGGGAGTATTTTTGAATTTAGAAGAAGAGGACATTCTCATCTTCCCTTCTCAAATCAATAAAATAGGAACAATTCCGCGTTGCGCCTTCGCCGTCAAGAGTAGCCAAAAATTTCCAGGAAGTTGCGATCTCAGTTGATTTTTCTTCAATTGTAGATGCAAGGTGATGTTAAGAGCATATTCAAGCCGCATGTGTCTGCAGATCGATGGGGACCAATCCTCAAACATCGATGCGGGAGCCGGTCATCCAGCCATTGCCGCTAAAGCTCACAAGCTCTAAATAACCGCATATCAAATCCTTGTCGGACGAATCAATGTAGTGCTCTTATATGTACTATACGAATCCATTGCTTCAAAGAAAAAGAGACAAAAATATTTAGCACGGGCATTTCACCAAACACTTGCCGGGCATGGTGAGTACCATACGGCTAGATGGTACCTATGTGGAGGAAGAGGAGGAGAGGTGTGGACCAACAACGGAGCTAAAATCGATGTGGGAGCCGGGGGTGTAGCGGTGGAGGTCGCAGAGCTCCGGAAAGGGTTTGGCAGGCGGCCTGGGAGGTGGTGCGGCGACGTCGGCGAGAGAAAAAATAGATGCAGAGAAAGAGGGAAGAATAGAGACACTGAGCCCTAGAGGGGTTTTGGGTGGGCCTGGGTGTCGGAGTCCTACATGGTTGTTGTCCGGTCTTCCGTAAAACCCCCTAATTTACTTTCGGTTTGAGCGAAAAAGGAGGTACGTACCGGCCACCGAACGGATACACAACCGTGTTGGATGGCAAAACACGTCTGAACCAAATGGTCCGAACGGTTACAGACGGTTCGAGGGTTCGCTGTGAAGTTGCTCTAATGGTTTAGCCTCCGGTTGACCTTTCAAAAAAAGAAAAAAAAAAGAAAAGAGCAATCCAATCATAGAGTTAAAAAAATAACTCGGTTCTCCTTTGAAGAACAATACAAGTGGTTCAATAGTCATTAGACTGGACTATCGCGACCACCGTGGCCGGCGCATGTGATGTGTCTATTATTCTGCTAAAATGCAGAGCATGTCATCAATCCCAGCCGGATGCCAAGCATGTTAGCGGACGTCATTTTTCAACGTCACGCATGACCGAAACTGCTCTCGATTAAATTCTCTAGGAGGTTGATTGGTCATCCTGTAATCCCAAACCAGTTTAAGTACACTTGGGAGAGTCCTTTGTCATTCTGGAAAGAAAAACAAGTCATTTGTCCTTGGACCACGCGTAGCGGCCGGCTAATCTTTGGCAAAGATCGACAGAGCCGGGTGTCATTGGATATTTTGCATTGAGCCGTCGGATCATCGTAGCACAGATCATGTTGCAGTTATCCGTTGCAACATGAACCATGCTGCGGTCACGTTCAGCATGATGTTGCAAAGGACCTTGGTCACCTACTGCAACATGGACCATGTTATGATCACCTCCAGCTTGCATAGTGTTGAAAACCATGTGGGCCTTTGGTCATCACTTGCAACATGAATCATGTTGCGGTCACCTATTAATTGCAAGATGCATCATGTTACGTTCATCAGCTTGCATGACGTAGCAAAACACATGAGCCTCTGCAATGATGGTTTTGCGGACTTACCTGTCAACGCACCCCATGAAGATCCTCTCGCAGCAATGCTTCTCGCGCGGAGAGATGGCTATGGATTGGGAAGGGAAACATAGAAGAGGGGGATGCTCTGGGTCGTAGCCGGAGGGAATAGAGAGAGGAGAAGGCCAACTGCACGGAAGAATTGAGAGAAGAAATAAGAGAGGAGGGATAAGGTGGGCCGAACGAAAGAAGGGACAAGGATAGACGAGAAGAGAGGGGTACGTCTGCACAGGCCCACGTGGACACGCATTAAATGAACCTCGCCGCCGAATCGCCTGAGCGACCAATCAGGTGATTGCCAGCGTATCCCTTTGTCCTTTGGTGTTAGCTTCCCTTCAAGACATTTGTGACGTGGTGCTCCATGCTGCACTTTATTTATTTACTTTTCTTGTCAATATCACCACTCGGCTGCAAGCTAAAATTGCACTATGAACCTTTTGTCACTTCCTTGTCTTTTTATGTAATTTGTCGGTCCTTGTAATTCTTGTTGGTTGCTGACTTTTTTTAAGTTGCTTATTGGTGAATTTCTCAATTCAAAGTTGGGCTCGTCTTAAGCCTTTGTTAGTAACCACAATAACCACATTCGGCTCGCTTCAGTTTTTATAGTCGTCGCTAGGTGGTCTATAAATATGGATGTAATTTTTATTATTTATAATGTTTGTTGTACAACCACGATTAAAAATGAATAGATTAAAAAAATCTTGCAAAAAAGAAACATACTCTCTCTGTCCCATAATATCAATTTTTGACACTAGTATAGTGTAAAAAACACTCTTATAGTATGGGAAGGAGGGAGTAGTACATATACTTAACACTGTTTAACACGCACACTCACTCTTATGAACCCACCTACGTCCATCTTAGCCTTATGAACACCTTCAAGAGACTGAGCTTATAGCCTTGAGATTTATGAAATTGCCACAGCCACCACGTAGTTGACGTGCACGGCATACCACAAAATGAATATTACTGAAAAGCGTACAATACATCCTGGAAAATGTGTACACCCACGGCAAGTCTATGCAGTACTTAATCTGGGTGAGCAGGGTACACCACAAGGAACCTGATAAATGCGAATAACCTGTGGTTGGATGGTTAGAGGAATTGTGGTATCCCGAGCCCACCAAAGCTCAAGTGCTCACATTTATTCTTGGATTTATTTCAGAATTTTTCGGCGATGTGCATTCAGTGGGAGGAGACGTTCCCGTCGACGATGAGGTGCCTACAGCGACTTCGTAAATTTCAAGATGATATGTCGGCTCAGTCTTTCGAAGGTGCTCATAGGAGTAGGGTGTGCGTGTGTGCATTCATAGGGGTGACTGTATGCGCATGTATATAAGCGTTTGCGTCTGTATTATGTTCAATAGAAAGGAACCTAGTAAATATTCAAAATAACTATTCAAAAAAATATTAAAATAACTTCTTCCTCATCAGACGGGAGTCATCAAGAGGGCAGGAGCACCGCCATTATATTGGAAGAACAGAAAATAGGAACCATTCCATTTCGCTGGCAGGAGCAGCCAAATTTCCAGGAAGTTGCAGTCTCAGTTGATTTTCTTTCGATTGTACATGTACGGAGTGATGATAGAGCAACCGTAGAGTTAAGAAATGAGCTTACACGAGTGGTCCTAATTGGAAGAACAACACAAGTGGTTCAACACTTATTGACTGGACAAAGTCGACCGCCGCATGCGTTATTCCTGCAAAATGCCGAGCAAGCATCTGTTGTTATCACCGTTGGGATTCAAGCATGTCGGCGACGTAATTATAAACGTGACATGTAACTGAAACTACTCTCGCTCAAGTCTTGTACGAGAGGTTGATTTGTCGTCGATCAAGTGGACTTGGAAGAGTCCTTGTCAATCTAATTGGGCACATATATAATTTTGTTCTGATTTTTATTGCCACTCCGGTTGAATCCTCTTCGCGATAGTAACGAATCTTTCTTGATAGACTACTCATGGTTGTGGTACTTTTATGGAGGTTGTTGCAACCTGCAGCCTTTGGATCACAACGAAAAACAAAAGCTCTTAGGGAGTTGACCCAAGTTTTGGTCGTTGGAAAATTAGTGCCCTACCATCTCTTGTTCATGGTTATCCATCCATCCCCACTCACGACACAGGTTCTGTTCTATTATAGAACTTGGACAGTGGTCCACACATTTCTATGGTTGGAATTTTTTTATGTATTATTATATATGTGTTTTTGTGTATTTCTTATAGTTAGCTTTGAGAAGTTGTTGGCCATCAGGTCGACACCAAAATCAGGACTGATCATTGGGCAGTCCATTGACAAAACATGAAGTCTCTTTCTATGGCAGCTATGTTTTATTCTTCGATTAGACCCTTGAACAATTTAGCTAGGAGATGATCTTGCCTTGTCAAGATAGTTAAATTCCCTTGGGCAGTGTACAAAGATACAAGTTCTTTTTTTTCTTCTTTTTTTGGAGGTGGACAACTTATTTTGCTAATTATTCACCACGTTTACAGTTGATCTCGCGCCTAGAATTTTTCAGGCCAAGATAGGGCAGTGTAGGC